TAAAAATAGTCTGCCAACAAATTAGTAGACAATAATCATGAAGTCTAACTTCCCTGTCCTGACTCATTCGCTAGCCAAGTGATCTCAGATAATTCCCTTCACACAGTGACTGCAACCCACACAAAACGCATGTTTATATTATGACTGAGTGCATACATGCAGGCACACATCACACTATGTATAGACTCTATTTGTTAAAATGGTATAATCTATTTTTTTTAATTCTATTGCTGTGTGACACCTATTAAATTGATTTAGTTGGTGGTGATCCTACAGTTTGGAATACATTCTTTTTTCCTTATTTTAATAAAAAGGAAAAAACACCATTTGCCATGCTACTTTTCTAGATAAAAAGTAGTGTAATTTTCCCAAGTGTGCTCTGTGGGCAGCCCATTGTTTTTTAGTGGCTTGGGAGGTTCTGTCCCATACTCTTTTCGAAGAAATCACTTTCATGTAGTAAAGGCTTTCAACTCCTACAGTAAAGAAGCTCGTGCCTTCCAAATTTATTTTACCACAAACTCTTATTACTCACATACCTGTTTAGATAAGCATTTAGGGAAATGCAGGAACAAAAATTAAGTGAACTCATTTTGAAAACTATAAAACTGTGAGTATTGTTGTTATTATTGACAGTCTATCATCATCCCAGAGTGCATTTCAGACCCTAAGATTCTCTTAGAATCTGAAAGCAAGCATCCCTTGGATCATTTTCGTGCTGGGAAAGAGAGGTTCCTTCTATTCCATTTGCCTTTTCACTGATTACAGTATTGTAAGATTCCTATAGGGTCTGAAACACTGAGACATTTACTTTCAGGATGTCCCTGGCAGCTGAAAGGTTTGAAAGTTATTTAGCTTGAAAGAAACATATGTCACATGAGCAAAATATCATGGTTTTGAAAGAAATACCATTTGTGTCACTTCTGTTGGCAAATATTCCTTGGTGCTGAGGATTCAAACTGTCAAATTGCTTAAAAATCTGAAATGCCAAAATGAAAGCCAAATAAGGCATGGCAACAAAGTAGAATTGTTTTAAGTTAATTAAATAGGTAATTGAGCAAATAAATTCTGCCATCAGATAAACAGCATTTCTGACACAAAATCTACTCCAGACACTGAGGAAGACTGCAAGAACCACATTGTTCCTAATTGCAGATCCACCCTCCCCCAGCTACCAGAGCAGTCAATTCATAGCTCACACTAGTGGCTTCCTGTTATCTCCGGCTAAACATGGCATACCAAACCCTCCTTAGGACAGTCCTGCTTATTTCTTTGGCTTCAATTCTTACCTGCCCTTCTCTATCGCTCCTTTGAAATGAACACACAAAAATTGCATATATTTATCATACGCAACATGATGTTTTATTTTATTTTATATTTTTTGAGACAGTCTCTCATTCCTTTGCCCAGACTGGAGTGCAGTGGTGCAATCTCAGCCCACTGCAACTTGTGCCTCCCAGCTTCAAGCAATTCTCATGCCTCAGCCTCCTGAGTAGCTGGGATTACAGGCGCACACCACCACACCCAACTAATTTTTGTATTTTTAGTAGAGATGGGGTTTCACCATGTTGGCCAGGCTGATCTGGATGGAATTCCTGATCTCAAGTGATACACCCGCCTCAGCCTCCCAAAGTGCTGAGATTACAGGTGTGAGCCACACGCCCAGCCTACGTTGCTTTAATATATGTATTAATTGTTGTATCAACCGAAATTAAGTCTGTTAAGGCAGAAATAGTTCAACAAAGGTTTATTGGAAGCCAAGTGTGAGGACCGATCAAGGAAGACACAGCAACAAAGCTGGGTGTGTCCCAGAGTCTGCTGTGAGTTGGAAGACTTTTAAGGGAAAGTTTAGAAGAACAGAGGAGGACTCTTCATACTACAGTTGTTCTTTTCATTGGAGGTCACAATATAGAGGTTACAATCACTGGCTACAGATGATATACAGGCTACAATGTCTACATGCAAGACAATCAGTAAACTTCATGATGCAGAAACTAATCACCAAAATTTGATGATTCAGAAACAAATCAATGTCCTTTTCAGTGCCAGTAGGTTATGTATTAATCAGTACATCAACAATTTGAGGGACTCACGGTAAGATTCTTTACTCTGGGATAGGACAGGACGGGACAGGATAGGCATCGTAAGAACTCTGCCAGGCAGGTTAATTTGGAAGCCTGCCCAATGTGACCTATACGTTATCAATCAAGTGAATTAACATATATGTTAATTCACATACCAAATTTTGTGGGGAGAACACAAAATCTACTATTTACATGATTTTAAAAATACAATACACTGCTATTTACTCTAGTCACCGTTTTGTACCATAGGTCTCTTGAAGTTATTCCTCTTGTCTAACTGAATCTAACTGAATTTTGTATCCTTTGACATCTTTCCGATCCCTCACCCTCTCACCTGTCCCCCACTGTCTGTTTTTTTTTCTTTTTTTCTTTTTCTTTTCTTTCTTTCTTTTTTTTTAATGTAGAGACAGGATCTAGCTTTGACACCCAGGCTAGAATACAGTGGCGTGATCATAGCTCACTGCAGCCTTGAGCCCCTGGGCTCAAGGGATCTTCCCACCTCTGCCTCCCAAAATGCTGGGATTATAGGCATAAGCCACCACTCCTGGCCCACTCCTCGCTCTTTGATGACCACTACTTTACTCTACTTCTCAGTTGTCACAAATGACAGGATTTCTTTCTTTCTGAAGGTTGAACAGTATCCTATGGTATATTCATACCACCTTTCCTTTGTCCATTCATCCGTTGATGGGCACTTAGCTTGATTCTATGTCTTAGCTATCGTGAGCAATGTTGTAATGAATGTAGGAGTACAGATATCTCTTCAACATACTGATTTCGTTTCCTTTGGATATATACCCGGTAGTATATATCCAAATAGCTAGATCATATGGGAGTTCTATTTTCAATTTATTTCTCTCCCACTTAATGCTTCAGCAACACTGAACTGCTTTGAGCTCCTTGCACACACCACACCTGTACTAAGTCATCGAATGCCTGCCCCTATTCTTATTCTTTCTCCCCTCTTCCTCCACTCTTAACATAGTATTCTAAGGCTCATCTCCTTCAAGACACTTTCCTAGGCTTCTTGCTCCTATCGCTATGGATCTGGGTCTCATTTTCTATGTTCCCATAAATTAAGGACCTTATCTTTATCACTGAATTAACACATTGTTTGAATCATCTGTGGCTGCCTCCTCCTTTACCAAACAGTGAGTTTCCTTGGGAATGAGGAATATGTCTGGTTTATCTTTGGGTCTCCTGTAGTTGGCAGCATGTAATAGATGCTTAATAAATGTTTGAATGCAGATCCAATAAGCTCCATATGTGTGCTGGATGTTGCCAAGGACATTTTAGACACTCAGATATGCAATAACACTTACATGTTGGGTTCTGCACAAGCAGTCACAGATAAAATATGTAACTAAGATAGTGTAACTGCCTTCTGGGTTAACATGCTTAAGACTATATAATATCCTATAATAGATGTTATGCTAGAGGTTTTATCAAAGTACTTTCAAATTCAGATGAGTGAGAGTGAATAATTCTGCCTGAGATAAGTAAATCTTTACAGAGCAAGTGATAATCTAATTGAATTGGTTGGCAATAAAATAAAGTTTTAAGTGACTTTGAAGTCAGGTATACCTGGTTTTGAATCACAGTTTATCTACGTGAGATTTTTTAATTTTTTAATCTATGTGATCTTGAACAAGTTACTAACCTCTCTGAGCTTCAGTGTTCTTATCTGCACAAAGGCATAGAAATCATTTTTACCTCATAAAATTGCCTTGAGTATTAAATGAGATAATACAAGTTCAGTGCAGTACCTAGTACCTAATAAGCACTCAATCACTGGCAACTATTATTTTAATGTTACAACCAGACCTTGAAGGGTAGATCATAATAAGCCAATCTGAAAAGGGGTGCGGGAAAAAATTCTAGAGTGGGGTTGGGTCAGCATTGACTGAAGTATGGATGCTAGAAAACACAAGGTTTGTTCAGGAGGAAGTGACAATCAACAAAGCTGAAATTCAGTTCAATCCAATTACCTGGCAACCAAAATGGATGACATTTAACAGATGCATGGCATGGTCTGGTGGAAACGATGCTGGGTTATAAGAATAAGGGGACTAATCTCCTACTTCAATCTCATTAGATAACTCCACCATTTAGTCCCACTGAGCTTCAATTTCTTCATCTGTAATAAAAGGATACTGAAACAGAGCAGCGATGACTGCCCATGCCACCTGCCCCCACACCCACAGTAGCTACTACTAATACATTTATCTTTTCCATCAAGCTGAGATGGAGCATTAGTATCTTCAACAGTTTCCCAGGTAGCTATTTCCAAATGACTAAAACCTGTTTGCTATCTGTGGATTAGGTGTTTGTTAGGTTTTTTTTTTTTTTTTTTTTCCCCCAGACCTTCTAAATAATACCAGACTTCTTAGGTAATTGAAATATTTTGTGAGGGCCAGGGACAGTGGTTCCTGCCTGTAATCCCAGCACTTTGGGAGGCTGAGGTGGACAGATCACTTGAGGTCAAGAGTTCGAGACCAGCCTGGCCAACATGGTGAAACCCTGTCTCTACTTTAAAAAATACAAAAATTAGCTGGGCATAGTGGCATGCGCCTGTGGTCCCAGCTACATGGGAGACTGAGGCAGGAGAATTGCGTGAACCCAGGAGGCAGAGGTTGCAGTGAGCTGAGCTCCCTCCACTGTCTGCCTGGGCTACAGAGGGAAACTCCCTCTCAAAACAAAAGAAAAACACATTTTGTGGTGTGCTGGATTATCCATATTCACATTACATTTTCTGTTGCTTTAGAGATCAAGTTTAAATCATATTTAGAACTCATATTAAAATCTAATAAGATAATACATATGTATGTACCATAAAATTATCATGAATTCAACTAATGTTGAAAAAGCTATTTGTGTATGCTCAAAATTTAACCTGAATTGGGTTTTATTTAATTTCAGACCTGAAAATTCATCTCCAGACTACTGACTATGGTAACTTTTTGGCTAATCAAACAAATCCTCTTACTGTTTCCAAAATTGACACCGAGATGAGGAAAAGACTGTGTGGAGAATTTGAGTATTTCCGGAATCATTCCCTGGAGCCCCTTAGCACATTTCTCACCTATATGACGTAAGTGACGACAGAAAGCCCCAATAAGCCCCAATGTACTTGTGCGGATGACCCCTAAGAGTACTCGTGTGGATGACCCCTAACAGTTACGGGGTTGAGGGGTATTAAGCCAGAGTGAGACTTAAGACCTTTTCCATTGTTTGTAAGTTTAAATTCATTCAAATTTTAGCAACTGATCAGCTCACAGAGCCACATTTTTGCATTAGAAAATGGATTTCATTGATTTATAAACATGACTGTATCAGTGGTGGTAGCCTCCATCTAAAGGAATATTTTCAGTTTTCATTTAATAAAAAAAAAAAAAAAGTGTTGCCAGTGTTTAAGGTGTTAGTGATGAAGGTAAATGTTATGTGACATTTTTATATCACTTTTGAGGATCGGGTTGACAATATCTCACAGTATTCATAAGGTCACATATACCGCGGCTAATTCCCTTTGTAACAGTATAAGTAGCTGTTGTGAAAGTTATATGTGTTTTATTTTTATCCATCACCCACAGTTCCAATTGTGCAACACATGAGCTCCTCATTCTAAAAAATATCTAGTGCTAGGAGCGGTGGCTCACACCTGTAATCCCAGCATTTTGGGAGGCCAAGGCGGGTGGATCATGAGGTCAGGAGATCGAGACCAACCTGCCCAATATGGTGAAACCCCGTTTCTACTAAAAATACAAAAATTAGCCAGGTGTAGTGGCGCTCCTCTGTAGTCCCAGCTACTTGGGAGGCTGAGGCAGAATCGCTTGAAGCTGGGAGGTGGAGGTTGCAGTGAGCCGATATCGTGCTGCTGCACTCCAGCCAGGGCGACAGAGTGAGATTCCATCTCAAAAAAAAAAAAAAAAAAATTGAACTCCCACATAATAGTAAACTGCACTTTTATGACACTAATTGATAAATCTTACTTAGTGCTGAAATGGACCATTTGAAATAGGTTTGTGCCTTTCCAGTTCTCCTAGCTGAAAAACAGAACAAAGACCCACAAATGGATGAGCTGTGTGTTATGCAGATAAAATTTAGATGTAAAGCACAAAGTTCTGAAGACTAGGTCCTAGCCCAGGTCTAGTGCCTGGCACTAAGGCATCAATATATTTGTGGAAAGAAAATATCAAAAAAAAAAAATGCTGGATAATACAAGCCAAAGATTAGTCAAAGGGGAACAAAAGAACAGGACTTCATGTCAAACACTGCTCAGTACTAGAAAAAGGAAATTAGAGACATGTTGTATGAATAAAGGAAACTGGGCATTGGCTGTGTGAAGGCATGGCTTTGGGAGACAACTTAAGATTTTTAGAGGCAGATTCCAAGAAAATATCACAAGAGAAAGCCTGGAAAGGTAGAAGGCAGAGACTCCTTCTGAAAGAGCAGTTTCAGCATCTGTCTGGTTGAACGATAAAATGACAGTGTTGCCTCAAGGACCAGGGAATGAAAGAATCCGCTTATCTGACCAGGCAGATACTCCCTCTATCCTTCTATTCTTTCTTTGTCCTTCCATATCTCCATCATCCATTCTTTTCTTCTTCTTCTTTTTTTTTTTTTTTGAGACTGAATCTCACTCCGTCACTCAGGCTGGAGTACACTGGCATGATCTTGACTCACTGCAACCTCTGCCTCCAGGGTTCAAGTGATTCTCCTGCCTCAACCTCAGTTTTGGCTGGAGTGGGTGTGCCAAATGGGAAGGAGGCATGCAGGCACGTGCCACCATGCCCGGCTAATTTTGTATTTTTAGTAGAGACGGGGGTTTCACCATGTTGTCTGGGTTGGTCTCGAACTTCCAACCTCAGGTGATCCACCCGCGTCGGCCTTCCAAAGTGCTGGGATTACAGGTGTGAGCCACCATGCCCAGCCTCCATCATCCATTCTTCCACTTTACAAATAACAGTATCTCTGCCCTTGAGTCCTGCAAACAAGAGATTGGAACTAAGAATATCCAAATGTACTTGCTGAGCTGAACAAAGTTAAGTGGACCTTAATTTCTACACATGCCTTTAATTTCAGGGGAAAATATCAGTCAGCAAGATTTCTCACACTGTAGCAGATATTCCTTGGCATCTAAATATGGCAACCAGAAAATATTCCATGAAAACAGAACTGCATTCCTAGGCCTTTGGCACAAAGGAAAACCAATGCAAATTTCCTATTATTGACAGCAGGCAAGAGCAGAAGTAAAGGAATTCTCTTCTGTTTGGGATTTCACATCACATCATACAATCTGAAGATCAACTTTACTTAATGAATAATATCTTTAAGAAAAAAAGAAAAGTAATTAAGGGACATGATTACAATCTTTAAAAAGTTCAGAAAAGCATAAAATAAAAATATCACTCTGTGTCTACATGTCCCCTTCTTCCCCCACTCAGTTTCTCTCCCAAAAGTAACCACTTCTCAGTTTCTTATGTGTTATTCCAGAAAAATACTTACATGTATGTGTGTCTATTGCTACACACTGTCCCACGCATACATTTCGAATTTATACAAATGGAAACATATTCCTTCTGTACTTTTTTCCCACTTAATATTTCTTAGAAATATGCTTGCGAATGTCATTCTTTTTATTTTATTATTTATTTCTGTTTTTACAGACAGAGTCTCACTATATTGCCCAGGGTGGTCTTGAACTCCTGGGCTCAAGTCATCCTCTCACCTTGGCCTCCCAAACTGCTGGGATTATAGACGTCTGCCATGATGCCTGGAAAACATCATAATTTTTAAATAACTGCATAGAATTGACTATATGTGTCATGACTCCATTTACCAATCATCTATTGACAAGTAGCTAAATTATTTTTATTTTTTCCCATTACAAAAAATTTTGCAATTAGCTTATTTCTTCTGAGATTAGATGAGATCAGGTGCGTTCAGGGTGGTATGGCCGTAGACCAATTAGCTTATTTCCATGCAGGTCTTGAACTTATTTCTAAGCTCAGTTTTTAGCAGTGGAAGTGGTGAATCAAAGGAATGTGCATTTTCATATTTTAGTAAATATTTCTAAGTACTCAACAAAGGTAGCACCAGTTTGAATCCCCTAAAACAGCCTGTGAAAAGGCCTGTGTCCTTACACCATTATCGACATTGGATATTTTCTTTTTAACTTTTGTCAGTCCAATAGGTTAAAAAAAATAGTATCTCTTTGCTTCAATTTATATTTCTTCATGAGTGAAATGGATCATTTCATATTTATTATTTATGTGGATTTGATACATGACCTAATTGCCTATTTTTATTAGAGTTTTCAGCAGTTTTTGATGATGTATAACAGCTCTTTGTAAATTAAGAAAGTTTTAGCCCTCATAATATATGTTGCAAAACTATTTTCTTGGTATGATATAATGTAATTTTTATGTTTGTGGGGTGTTTTTTGCTGTGGAAACATTGAATGCTTTAAATTAGCTATACTCATCAATGTTTTTATTCATTGGCTTCTGGGTATTTTACTGTACCCTGTTTAGAAAGGCCTTCTCCACTCCAAATTCATGAATAAATTCACTTGTCTTTTCTTCTATTTATTTGTTGTTACAGATGTTGTTTCATTTTTTTACATTTAAAACTTTGGTCCATCTTAGAATTTATTTTCATGTAAAGAATTAGACTACAGATCTAGCTGAAATTGTTTTTCCCAAATAGTTCTCCATTTCTATAAGTAAGTAAGTAGAAGAAATGACCATAGGTCAAGTAAGGAAGGAATTGTGGATATACCTGAGACATGGCGTTAGTGCCAATGTTTCTTGTTTGCCCCTCTCAGTCCTCCTATCAGCGCTATGGGTTAGGATAATTTCTTCCATATTACTTACAGGCAAGACACAGATGCTGATGTTTTCAAAGAATTCACAAATTTCAAAGAATTCACAAAAGCTAGTCAGGGGTAGAGATTAGATAGGAACTTACATAGGACTCAGTTCCGCGATTCTGGAAAGCCTTCCAGAAGGGCTGATGTTGCTGAGCCTGGAAACAGTGTAGAATTTGACAAACGGGAGAAGCCTCAGCATCCGGGGCTGAAACATGTAGATGGGAAGGTTGTTCCATGCGTGAGGAACAGTTCAGTTTTGACTGGAGTGTGTGTACCAAATGGGAAGGAGGAAGTGGGGAAAGGAGGCTGGAGATGCAAACTCCAGTCACGTTACGGAAAGTCTTTGATGCCAGGCTAAGGAAGTTGAGCTTTATCACATCATAGTGTTTCGTTTCTTTTCTTTCTCTCTTTCTTTCTTTCTTTCTTTTTGTTTCTTTCTTTCTTTCTTCCTTTCTTTCTTTTCCTTCCTCCTTCCTTCCTTCCTTTTCCTTCCTCCTTCCTTCCTTCCTTTCTTTCTTCTTCTTCTTCTTCTTTCTTTCTTTCCTTTCTTCTTATCCTTTCTTTCTTTTTCTCTTTCTTTTTTTTTTTTCTTCTCTCTCTCTCTCCTCTCTCTTTTGAGACGGAGTTTCACTCTTGTTGGCCCCAGGGCCGGAGTGCAAGGGTGGGTGATCTCTGGCTACTGCAACCTCCGCCTCCCGGGTTTCAAGTGATTTCGTGCCTCAGGCCTCCGGGAGGTATGTTGGATACAGGGGCACGCCACCCAGCGCCCAGCTTAAATGTTTCTGTATACTAGATTATATATTTATTTATTATTTTTTAGTAGAGATGGGTGTTTCCCCATGTTGGTCAGGGCTGTCTTCAACTCCTGACCCTCAGTGATTACCTGGCCTCAGCCTTTCAAGGTGCTTGAGATTTCACGGCCTGTGAAGGCCACGCACCCGGTTCGCAGAGGTTATTTTTCAAGGTGTGTGTATGTGGTGTATTGTTGTGGTATCTGCAAGGCCCTTTCCTAAAAAGTAAAAACCTTAAGTGAGAAACCAAATGGTAAAAGGGACAAAGAAGATGGGTGGATTTGTCACAGGAACATTTTCCTTCCGTCCCAGTGATGGGGAGAGGAGTAAGGAAAGTGCTTAGGCTTTGGGCTGAGTCAGATCCCAATTCATGTTCTAATTCTTCAATAGCTGCCTGAGACAGGCTCTGCAAGCAGTGGTGGCCTCCTG